GATATTTGTGACTCTCTTCGCAGAAGTAAAATACTGACAATAAAAAAGAGATTATGTGAGGGCTCAAAGGTGCATCATTATCTTGGGTTTTACTTGTCAACAATTTGAAATGTAAGAAAAAAACTGAATGTATGAATGTAATCCTTTGGAAAGGTGACTCTTACTGGTGGACTTGGTCCTCTGGAGTTGAATGAATGCTTCTGAGACATAAGCACTTTTTCTTTTCCTCCCTATAGGTTGGTAGGACAACACTTTCCATCAACTTTAATTTTACTACTCCTGATAGTCTGACCTTTATCTTCTAATCCAATTACATACTCAAATCTTTCCCTTCTGTTCATTCTATCTACCTTTAGATGAGTCAACTGAGAGATGAACATTTAAAATGCATAAATACATATTTTGCCATACACTGTTTTTTGTTTTTTCTTTATGCTTTACATATCATGAAATTTACTAGCAAGGCATCAAACATTTCTTGAAGGCTGATATGGTCAGGCGCTGTGTCCCCACTCCAAATCTCATCTTGAATTGAAATCCCCATTTGTCACGAGAGGGACCAGGTGGGAGGTGATTGGATCATGGGGGCAGTTTCCCCTATGCTGTTCTCATGATAGTGAGTGAGTTCTCATGAGATCTGATGGTTTTATAAGTGGTGGTTTCCCCTGCTCTTTTCTCTCTTCTGTCACCTTGTGAAGAAGTTGCTTGCTTCCCCTTTGTCTTCTGCCATGACTGTAAGTTTCCTGAGGCCTCCCCAGACATGCAGAGCTGTCAGTCAGTTTATAAATTACACAGTCTCAGGTATTGTTTATAGCAGTGTGAAAACGGACTAATACAAATGCCTGTGTATATTTTTGACTTTCTGTTTGGAAACAGTTTCAAACTTATAGAAGTTACTCGAATAGGAATGGTAGACAGAACATCAGTTAACCCTTTACCCAGCTTCTATTGTCAACATTTTAGTCAATTTGCCTAATCATTTGTGCACTCTCCGTTCTGTTTCTTTCTTTCTCCACATATGCATATATATGTGCATAATGTATATCTGCACACACATATATACATACATGTATAATATTGTGTATATACCATAAAATATTTTGTTTTTACTAAAGAATTTGAGAATAAGTTTTACATAGCATGGTCTTTTATCCCTAAATATTATTTTTTATATATAAGTATATTCTCATAAATAACCACAGGGAAGTCCTCAATTTCGGTAAATATAACATTAATAGTTTAATTTGTATTTCAATTGTCTCCTTGGCTCAATGTTTGTTATGGCTTCCTTTTCCTCCAGTACTAGATCCAGTCTCGGGACAGATACTGCACTTAGTTGTCATGTTTCTTTAATCTTTGAAACATTGCCACAGCCTTTTTAAATTTTTTTTTTTTTTCCTTTTGTGACAGTGACAGATTTGAAGACAGAGTCCCCCTACTTTCTATATACAGGAGTTTCTGTATTCTGAATTTGTCTGATGTTTCCTCATCATTAGATTCAGGTTCTACACTCCTGACCAGGATATTGCATATGTGACACTGTGTGCTTCTCAGGCAGCCATATCTGGAGGCACACAATGTCTGTCTGCCCCTCCCTGGTGACGCTAGTTTTCCTCACACAGTAGGAGTGTTGTCCTATTTCTCCAACAGTAAATAGTTACCATTTTCTCCCTTGCAAATAATGAGTTTGAGGAGAGACACTTTAAGACCATGCAAATATCCTGCTCCTCATTACAATTTCCCCTCAGTTTTAGCATCTATTGGGATTCTTACCTGAACCAGTCTTTGCTGTGATGGTAACAAAATGATGAGGGTCACCTCAGCACTCCCTCCATGTTTACCAGTCAGCATGTGACTTTCTAGTTTAACCAAGGACCGTGTCTTTTCCTCATGTATGGATGAATGTGTCTTAGTCTATCCCAGCTGCTGTAATGAAATATCTTAGACTGGGTAGTCTATATATAGTAGAAATTTATTACTCACAGTTCTGGAGGCTGGGAAGTTAAAGGTCAAGGCACCAGCAGATTTGGTGTCTTGTAAGGGCTCTTCCCTTATACATGGTGCTTTCTCTCTATCCTCACGTGGTGGAAAGAGTAAACGAACTCCCTCAGGCCCCTTTTATAAGGATATTAATTCCTAATCACTTCCCAAAGATCCCACCTCTTAATACCATTACTCTAGTGGTTAGGTTTCAACACATAAATTTTGGGGCGATACATATATTCACACCATAGCAGTGTGTATTATCTGTATGAACTCATGGATTTCTGTTTTCTACCCCACTTTCCCCCAAGTGGTGTATAATTATTATCCTTATTTAGCTTGGTGGTGGATTATCCCAGATTTGGCCAGTTGGATCCTTTCAAGCTGACTAGGTGTGCCTGTGCCATATGTCCATTATTCTTTGGAGCACATCCTTACCTCTGGTATAACAAAATGTTCTAGGTTTATCATGCTTCCCCAGCCCTGCTTTCAGTCACTTCTCCAGGAACCCCTTGTTCCTTTTGGTGGGGAATAGTGTTAGAGATAAAAATCCATGCACTAGCTGTGCTATTTGCTCCTGGAATATCTCTGCTTCTATACCTTTTTAAGTGAACGGAGCCAGGAGATACATGCATGCATATACATATACTTACATACATGTAAATGCACATACATACACGATATGCACATATACATGTTTATACACATACATGTGCATATTTTAGATATCATAAGGGAGCACCAATACTTCCAATTTCAATTCATCTTTTTTACCTTCCCCCATTCCATATTTGCATGTACCTTCTTTCACAGTGAGAGTCTTGGCTTCTAAAATCAATAGATTTACTCATTTGCTCAATCTCATAATATATCTAAAGTAGTTTCAGAATGACTTCACCCATATCCACAAAAATGCAAAGCTACTCAAAAGAGTTCAGGATCTCTAGTTTCCAGTTTTTCCATTTCCCTACCCTGTCCAAGACTGAGGGCTGTAGGATGTGCAGTCAAAACTGTTGTAAGTTACTCAAATTAGTTATTTTTTGCCCTCCATTTTAATTATAGTATTCATTTGAAATACAGTTGGGTTCATTGTTTCAGTTTCTCCCTTTCCTATCCTTGCTGTCTTAATTGTTTTGAATATGTCAAGCATTAACATGCTTTCAAAAGTCAAAACTTACAGAAAGGTATACTCAGAAAAGTATTCCTCCCTTCTACAGCCATGGCACTCTCATTACCTTCACCATTTGTAGGCAACCAACATATTAATAATTGTTTCTGGCTTTTCATTCTGGTGAATTTTTGGTAAATATAAAATATATGTATGTTTTCTTATTTTTCCTTCTTTCCTAAACAAAGATAGTGGTATTATATACAGTCTCTGGTGCTTTGGTTTTTCATTTATAAGATCTTTTGACCATCATTCCACATCAGTCCACAGAGAGCTTTCTCATTCTATGTTTACCATGACATAGTATCTATTGTGTGTTTGTACCAGAGTTTTTTCAACAATGTCCTATGATTAGACATATAGGCAATTTTAATATTTGCAATTACAAACTACTGCCACAATGAATGAACTTCTGCATATATATTTTTGTAGTTGTAAGACTATCTTTAGAATAAATTCCTAGAAGTGGGATGGTTGGGTTTAAGGACAAATGCATATGTAATTTTGGTTGCTGTTGTCCAATCCTCTTCTATGGAGATTGAATCATTTTGGATCCCCAACAGCAATGTATGAAAGTGCCTGTTTCCTCACAGCCTCAGCAATGAACTGTATTGTTACGCTTTTGGATTTTTCCCAATGGGACAGGTGAGAAGTGGTATCTCATTGTAGTTTTAGCTTGTGTCTACTATTATTAGTGAAGTGAAACATCTTTTCAAATGCTTGAGGACCATTTAAAACATCTTTTTGTGAGTTGTCTACTTATATTTTTTGCCCATATGTCTATAGGATATTTTTCTCCTTTAATTTGTAAAAGTTTGTTTTTTATATTAGGAATATTCAATGCCTTATCTATGAGATAATTCATATCCTTAATATTTATATATATATATATTAATATTATTAAATTCCATATATTAATATATCATTGTATTATACTTATA